GATAAAAACGATGTGCACATATACCGTATATATTCGCTCGATTATGATGCACCGACTAACTCGCTTGTACCTATTCGAATACCATGATACAGGTACGTTCCGTTATTTAGTACGTAATAAAGTATAGATATTTAGCTATTTATGTATGCACGAATGCATGCATGCATATATGTATGTATGTACATGAATATGTAAGTTTGTATGTATGTATGCATGTATGTGTGCGTGCGTATGTATGTATGTACGTTTATGTATACCACAAGTGCCTTACAACGAGTAGCCAAGCATGGTGCATGGATGTCAGCAACAACACAAGACTGCAAGAATCTGTGTACGTCGGGAATGAATGTATGTATGTATGTATGCATGTATGTATGTTTGTATGTATGTATGTTTGTATGTATGTATGTTTGTATGCTTGTATGCTTGTATGTATGTATGCATGTATGTGTGTATGTATTATTATTATTATTAAGAAACATTTATTAAGCGCTTATTAAACAATTTCATAAGCGTTCTCTCAAAAACAAAACAAAATGTTATATGTGACTGCTCATAAAACGAAAATCAAAGTAACAAATTTTACAATTTCACAGAAAATAAAAACGTCTTTAGTTCTTTTTTAAATAAATCCAGAGAAGTTCCCGATCTTCTTAACATAGGTGGAAGGTTATTCCAAACAGAGGGACCAGCCACGGCAATGTCCCTAGAACCAATTTGCAAACGCGTGACTGGCACCCTTAGCAGATTCAAATCATCCGACCTGAGATAGGAAGATGATGCTGTTTGTTTTGTGGTAAATTTATTTTTCATGTATCAGTGACATGTCATTTATAGACTTGAACATGAGAACTGCAATTTTAAAGACTATCCTTTTGTTAATTGTCAACCAGTGTAGTTCATTCAAAATCGGTGTCACGTGATCATACTTCAAACCAAAACATGATGAGTGACACTGAATCGTCAAACATCAAGTAACAAATGGATTAACACTTTGATTTGTCGTTAATTGCACATGTCGGCATTCAGTTGGATATTTTCAAGCACACAGACACGCAGGAACCGCTGCAACAAGCACGAAATGTGGTTAGTTGCGAAAAACTGTTCCCTGCTGTCGCTTGATCTGACGCTGATCATTTTACATATTGCCTTAAGAAATTTAAGGGTGTTGGGGTCCATCGGGCCAAGAACCTCGATACATATTGGCAAGAATTCTATCGAGGGGAGGCCGTTCCCATATTTTTTCATTTTCTCGTCCGCTGCCCTGGCCGCGGCCAAACCGCATTCTTTACTTGTCAGGTTTACGTATCGTTCGGCGAGGGTTCCAGGGACCGTAACATTCCACGCCAAACATCTGCCGGCTCTCCAAGGTATTAGTGTGCATCCGTCCGGGCGCCTACCATCATGCGCAGAAATGCCGGATGGTTCCTTGAGAACCAGGATTGAAGCCTTGGAGAAGAGCCGACAAATGTATTCGTTTAGCGCTGAGTGACGTAGTTGACGGCCCCCACCCAGGCGACAAACCAAACCGTGGTGCCCAAACTCGTCCGCCCCTGCGCCACATCGGCACGTGTATTTATTTTGAATGACCAGGCCAAGTCTGAAGCCAATGGCAAATCTTACAGACTCGTCGTCAAGCCTGGTGCCCACAGAGATGTTGGGCCACGATCTCAACCACCCACAGCTGGCAACGCTGGACATGGCCAACAAACGAGCGGTGGAAAAGTCGTCGCCGCATGAAGACAACAAATTTTGAAAGATTTTTTTATATTCTTCGTTCAAAATTTGGACGTGAGTACGGTCTCCCGGGGCGGACACTGGGGAAGAATATCGCGGCAACAAAAAAACCGGTGAAGCAGGGAAGACTGCAGGTCGAGAGTGGCAGCGGCAGAAAAATTATAAACAACAGGAGCCAGCTGAACCACGCTAAGCAACCCCAGCCCACCAAATCGCACCGGCAGCTGAGCCTGGGACCAACCACTGTCGGTCACTTGAACATTGCAAATCGACGACAGGGCGGTGCGCAGGTCTCCGTCAAATTCGCCCAATTTAGAAGGGTCAATGTGTTTGGATGTACGCAGGAAGTACATCAATTTGGACAAACCGAGGGCATTGCGGATAATAGTCAAGGCATCATGGGCCGAAAGACAGGAAACACGACCCAGGGCGAATTTAAGCTCAGAGAGCTTTTAGTCAAAAAACTTTATTTGATAATCGCCCTCGACCAAGGATGAGCCTAAAAAACTCAGTTATGATGCACCAACTCTGGACATTCCAGCCAGCGCATGTGGCACCTGAAATAAACTTTGGCAGTGAAGTTCGCATTTTTTAATGTTTAACTCTAAACCAATTGCAGCGGAGTTATGCTTCAAATATTCGTAGCTATCGGCCAGAGTTGGGCCGTACGAAGCAATGCTGATATCTACAACCCAAGAGTGGTAGCCAAGAGAAGAGACTCCGCCATAGGCAGAATGGCAAAAATTATAGATATTGGGGCAAAAAAGTTTGACAGCCTTTAACATCGAGTCTCTTCTCAAGGCATTGAAGGCATTTTTAAACTCCAGTTTCAGAAACCCCCATTGATCGGGGAGGTCGGTGACCAATCTTTGAACCGCATGAACAGCGGCCTCAGCGCCATCCTTAATCCCGACACCCAACTGAGTCGGGTAGAATTTGGTCTTGAGTTCGACCACGACCAGGGCCAAGGCACATTTGCCGGCCAACCTCCTCCAAACGTTCCCGACCGCAATCGGTCTGACCCCTCCGTCTTTCTTATTTAAAGCTATTAGCCGGCCTCCAAAAAAGAACCGGCGGACGGAGAGTCGGCAAGCTCCAGATAGGATCAAATTAATGAATTGGGTTAAGGAGTTCAGTGTGTCGTCGATTGGCAAGAGGCCTGAAAAAACATCCTTAAGGTGCTGGGGTCGTAGGCCATCCAGGCCTCCAGAAGAACCGTTTTTGAACGATTTAACGGCCCTCAGCACCTCGGCGGGAGAAACGCAACCAGCCGTTGGTGTCAATGCGGGAAAGACCCGCCTGTCCACCGGAATTTTTGGGTGGATGGAACATAATTTATCGAAGGTGGCCGGCGAGCTCAAGTCTGACAGCCGAGGACAGGTTTCCCTGTTCAATACAAGATGACACAGCGTTGATCCACCGATCGGAGTTGTGCTTTTATGATTTGGCATTATTGAACCCATCAAAGCACAGTACCAGGGTTTCAAGACCAATAGTTGAATATTCGCTTAGACGCTTGTTGACCAGATTGCCCTGGTTGACCCGGCGACCCTCTCTGGAAGTCTTCTGTAAGACGTATGGGACAAAACAGTGGAGTCTAACCCAGTGAGCCGGGTCACCAGGGTCATTACAAACAGCCGTCAGCAAGGCGTTCAGATCATGTGCGAACTTCTCTCTGCATGGCTTAGGGATATGGTCGTACACCGGTACACATTTCAGCACGGCCGTCAGCATGTCAAAAACACCGGAGTAATCCAGTAATCGAGAGGATCACCGGAGTCCGATGCGGCCGACGACCGTGTGGGCAACCCGGGCTTGGGGTCGGGTGCGGCACCGAGAGGCGAAGCAGCCCTTGCGCCCGATGGATCAACTTTTTTCCGGGACCCCGAGCATTCCTGTCCTTTCACTTTACCTCCGTGTCGACATAACTTCCCGTCTGGAGTGCTTCTATAGTGGTTAAAGCAGACGGGGCACTGTTGTAACGTTGGTGCCATATGTGATTAAAAACAACCAAGAAACGAAGGAAAGGAAAGAAACCAAGTGGGGTGGATGGATGAATGAATAAATGAACCAGCGAATGACCAAATGAACGGGCCGGCGAACAAACGAATGAATGAGTGAATGATGGGGGAATGAATGAGCTAATTACTGAACGGACGAGTGAGGGAAAAAAAAGAATGAATGAGTGAGTGAATAAATGAATAAACAACCGAACGAATGGATGAATGAACGAATACATGAATGAGTGACGGAATGAATGAACGAGCGAACGGATGAATGACTGAATTATCTTTAAATATTTAACCAGTGGAAAATATATATAACTTTTTCAACTTTTATTATTTTTTTTCTTTTCTTTTTTTTTTATTAATGAATGAATGAGTGAGTGAACAAATGAGTGAATGAGTGAATACAAAAACCTAGGTAACAGTGTGGGAGGAGACAACTATTGCAGCAAACTTTGGCCCAATCTCTCCCCTTATAGTTTATTTTTTTACACAGATTTTAAAAATTGGTTTAGGAAATTTCTTTTTTATAAATAAATTTTAATTTTAAATTTTAATTTCAAAAGTAAATTAAAAATAAATGTCGGTAGAAGGTAAATAAGTTAAAATGTAGTGAACTTTCATATAATAATAAAAACAGCTCACACCTGCCGCAGGCCGGTGACCTGTAGCAGCTATGAGCTGTGAATAAATTATAATATTGATAAAAAAACAAAAAACGAGAAAATTGGCCGAGGCAGGCAGAAAAACGATAAAAAATGACGGAAAAACAAACCCGGGACAAAATTACAGCCGATGACCCCAAGAATCATATGTAAAAACGATTTAAAATCTATGAATTTAACAAAATGTATGTATGTATGTATGTTTGTATGTATGTTTGTATGTATGTATGTTTGTATGTTTGTATGTTTGTATGTATGTTTGTATATATGTATGTATGTATGTATGTATGTTTGTATGTATGTATGTTTGTATGTATGTATGTTTGTATTTTTGTATGTATGTTTGTATGTATGTTTGTTGGTATGTAGGTATGTAGGTATGTATATATGTATTTATGCATGTATGTATGTATTATTAATATTAAGAGTAATTTGTTAGCGCTAATTAAAACTGTCCCTCGAGCGCTCACATTAAAAAACAAGACGTACGTGACTACACGCGAAAAAGAAAAATTAAAAAAGCCACAATTTTCACACTTTTCTGTGGTCGAAGAGGTTCTCCTTGTATTTAAACCAGATCACTGCATCACCATTGCCAAGTACACTACTCTACATGAGCCGCTATACATATATATATATATAAACATACATACATACATATATTCATATATAGGCTCTCTCTCCCTCTCTCTCTCTCTTTCTTTTCTCTCTTTTCTCTCTCTCTCTCTCTCTCTCTCTCTCTCTCTCTCTCTCTCTTTCTCTCTCTCTCTCTGATACATTACACACTTAAAGACAATTATACATACACACACGCACACAAACACCATTGCACGTAACGTACAAACATCACACGCAAAAATATGCTTTAGTGGAAGAAATCATAAGCATTTAGCACGCATGCATGTATGTTTGTGTATGTGTATGTGTGTGTATATATGTGTGAGTGTGTGTTCAGTTGTCATGACAACACGTCATCATCATTATTATTTAATACAACTCATGTATGTATGCATAAACATGTATGCATCGTATGTGTGTATTGATGCTTATATATATGCATTTATTGTCTTCATTTGGGTGTTTTTGTCCTTTGAGTGTATGTTTGTATGTATTCGTTGTATGTGTGTATGCGTAAATAAGATGTTTGTACGTATGTTTGTATATATGATTGCATGTATGTATGCATGTATGTACGCTTGTATGTAAGTATATACACGTGTGCGTCGGTATGTTTGCGTGTTTGTAGGCTGCACGTATACAATTTATAGCGTTCGTCTTAGCTGATCCAGGGTTTATTTGTCAGTTAATATGTGTTTGTATATGTTTGTATCTGTTTGTATTTGTCAGTTAATATGTGTTTGTATATGTTTGTATATGTTTGTATTTGTCGGTTAATATGTGTTTGTATATGTTTGTATCTGTTTGTGTGTTTTTTATGTTTCAATGTGTCTATTTATGTTTATATGTGTTTGTTCATCTTTGTTTGGGTTCTATTTTTTTTCTTTAATCTGTTTTAATCTGTTTTTCCTAAGTTATTCACGTTCAGTTACTATATAATTTATATTTCTTCGGGCTTCTGTGTTTTTACAATACTTACTTTACTGTGAGTTTCAATGGTCAAAAATGTTTATACTCAGTTATACAAACTTTTATGAGCACGTGTAGCAAATTTTTTTGTTTAAGTTGCGTGTTTGTATGTATGTGAGTGTGTGTGTGTGTGTAAGTATGTGTATGAATGTGTGTGTTTGTCTGCCTACACCGCAAACAATTCGAAAGACTTTGCGCATTCGAGCAAAATTATCAATGAATTTATGAATGTTTGTTCGCTACAGCACACACACTCATATTAACCACATACACATACAGACACACACACCACACACTCACACACACACATATACACTCACACACACATGCACACACACGCGCATACACATACACACGCGCAGCAAAAGCTAAATTCCTAGAAACAAACCACAAACATATTAAATAAAGAGACGCTAAAATGTTTTGAATTAAAAAAAAATTTTTATCACCGGTATCAAATACTCAATTGAAAAATTCTTTGTTATAATTTCATTTTTATCTGCTGATAATACTACTACTACTATTACTACTACTACTACTACTACTACTTCTACTACTACTACTACTATTACTAATTCTGCTGCTGCTGCTACTACTACTACTACTACTGCTACTACTACTACACTCGCTACTTATACTACTACTGCAAATTTCAAATTAATGAAACTTGACTCAACAAATTACGTTAATAAAAATATTATTAATATAAAAATCAATAAAACTACGAATAACAATAATAAAATTAAATAACAAACAAATGATAAGAATAATAAATAATATTTTTTTTTTCATATATTAACGACCTATCTCTTTACGTTCAAAATAAATTACTCCATGCTAGTTGCGTCCATATCACATCTCACTCATATCATCTTCAGATCAGATGACCATGTTATGAGTGTGACACACACACACACACACACAAATACACAGGCACACAAACACACACACGCACGCACACATATGGATAACAGTATTTTAAATATTTCAAATTGAGAAAACATATTTTAATTAGTCAAATGTTGTTAAAATGGATGGTTTTGCATTGTTGTATATACACAAACCATACAATTTATATATATACGTATGTTTGTATATACACAGCATACGTACATATACATACAAATACATATGTTTGTTTTATACATGTATGTCATACATATGAACGCAAAGAGTATGGGCAGACAAAACACACACGCACTGCTAAGAGGATTTTTATTTTATGTTTAGAGTTCTATGCTCTTAACTATAAACGACATTCTCATTTTCCTATTCTATTATCATCGTCATCGTCGTCGTTGTCATCATTTTTACTTCCTCTCTATCATTCTCTATCACTCTCTATCACTCTCTATCACTCTGTATATTATATATATATATAGTTATTAACATTGTTAATTAAATATCTTAAGATCTTTGCATGTTGAAAATGTATCAATATTTTTAGTCGGTTAGTAATTTGAGTTTTATTTCAAAAATTGAAATATAGATTAATTTTTTTTTAAATAATAAAGATTAAAATAAAAATAATAATTGTTATTATTTTCATCAACATTAATTATTATAATTATTATCAGTATTAATTATAATAATTAATAAGTATCATTAATATTATTTCATGGGTTATTTTACCCCCATTATTTTATGTAGGTTGATTCATACGATGAAAAAACATGTCTTATTTTGTCTAGAAATCTCCAAAGTTCTTCTGCTATTTTCATACAAAAGGTAAATAATAATAATAATAATAACAATAAAAACAATAATAATAATAATTATAGTAGGAATAATAAGTTATGTTTATGTGATATATTATGTGTTAATTTTATTTGATTAGTTTGGCGTAATAAGCGGGATAAAACATGCTTAGCCATCTCAAATTATCTATTTATCTACATATCTATTCGTTTCTATGTTATCAAAAACATAAAATATCATATAAATATGTATATATATATATATATATATATATATATATATATATAATCAAAAATCAATTTTTATGGCGCAATTTTCGTGAATTAATTTGCGTGCAAATGTATTACGTAAAAATACATACATATAGATATATCTAAATACATATCTATGAGTATATCTACATACATATCTATCTATGCATATATCTAAATGCATGTATATGTATATTCATAATGATAACAAACCATTTTTACTCTTACGTTGCATAAGTCATTACTGGCATTTGAAAATTAGCTTGTATTTCATCTGCATTCGAACTCGAGCACTCTGCAACTGCAACTTTTTAAATAAAGACATAACTACTGTCATAATCTTCCCCATGGACATCATATTTACTAACTTTTCAATTTTTTACATTCTCGACACAAATCTTTCAATTACAGTCTGATTTGTAATCAAATATGAATATTTTTCTTCACATTTGGTTCACCATTATTAAGATAATTAATTATTGGTATTGTTATTAAGCAGTCGACATTAGTAAGTTATGAGCCACAGCCAAACACACACAGACACAATCACACACACACTAACACAATCTTATACACAAACACACCCACACACACACTAACACAATCTTATACACAAACACACCCACACACACACTAACACAGTCTTATACACAAACACACCCACACACACACTAACACAATCTTATACACAAACACACCCACATACACAATCACACAGCCAAACACAAAAAGACACACAAATACAAAAACACTTACAGACACAATCACATACACAAAGGCACACAGA